ACGGATCAGCTCTAGGCATGACAAAGCGGATATCATCCTCTTTTGGAAGGCCAAACAAAGTAGTTTCGCTTTCACAACGAGACACACAGCGCCTTCACGACATGGCGGCAGCAACAATACTACATCGAGAATAAACGTTAAGCCTTCTTTCTTTGCGTGAACATTTGGGCGGTGTTATGCAAATCTTCCCACATCGTGACATAGACATGTGAGGGCGTGTTTTAGGTAGGCATGGTTGACTCTTAACTTTTATAAAGAATATCTCTTTGGATTTGAGACTTTAGTCTTTGCAACTTTACAGATCTTCTTTATGCACCAAGAGCTTGTAACACTTCAAAGAGAAAGGAAAAATTGAAATTACATCATATGACCCCTTTAAAATCTGAAAAAGTGCTTTGGGTTACCAGCTGTAATGAGATTAGAAGCCACCCTGTTCAGTGATTCTCACCGCTGGTCACAACATCAGTCATCAAGTTCCAGAACTGTCACTTCTGGCAGTGAGGAACATGCTGGGTGTTCTTAATAAAATGTCCTCTGGAAGTGAAATCTGTGCTTTCTTAAATTCACCTGCTCCGTAACCTTTACCTTGTTAACTTAGAGACAGTGCTCTCCTCTTTTGACAGGCAACTGGAGAACAAATGTCACTCTCTTGAGTGAGTTTGCAAATGGTGTGTGTTTTGGTGTGTATGTCTGGCAATGTGTATGTGTGTGGTAGTGGAAAGAGTGCAGCGAAGGCTCTGAAACTTGGGAAATACCTGAAGGGGGCCGTGTTCCACGCCTGCACATTCAATAAAAGGATTTCACATGTGATAAGGCCTGTACCTCAGTTCTGTCCCGGAGAGTCAGCCAATCTCCCTTCGCTCATCCCTACGTCCGTCGGAGTCAGGAAATCCATTGTTGGAATTATGGGGAGCGGTTCAATAATTCAGATTAGCGCTCATGTTTATTAATGCTCTACATCTGTGCAAACAACGTGTCAAGCAGAGAGTTTATTGTAATTGCCAGAGCAAACAAAACCTGAAAGAAGCAATTTTCAGTTACAATGTGCCGTGCCAAGTAATGAGGCTATTGGCATTCCTGTCCAGTCATACTCGCCGCAGTCTCTCCATCACTTCAACATCCAAGCTGATAGATACTTTTATAAAGAATGAAAGTGCTGGCTAACATGTTAGACCACAAGAGGAAGAAAAATGATTCAAGATAATCATTGCTCCCTGCCCCCACTTCAAGATCTTGCTAGTTTCCATTTAACATGACTTATTTTACTTTTTCATATGGAACTGTTGGCTGTAGCAGCTATTGCTCTGTTTATACTAAGCGGCGACAGCTGATTGGTGTGCTGATCACCATCATGCTGCCACTCTGACCAAATAAATAATATGTAGAGTGGTGTATAGAGGAAAAAAAAAGAAAAACAGTTATTAAATTGAAAATGTCACTGGACAGCAGTGTAAGTGAAGGGAGCATGTTTCTGTACCCCTTTGAATCCATCATTATTACTTAATTGAATTCCAGTAGTAAATATTTAATTAAATAACAGCTTTGGATTTATTGAATTGCCCCCGGAACAAAGGTGAAGCGGGCCTCTTAACTGTCTTACACAAGTGCATTGTTTAATACATTTACATCATTTCAAACGTGATCACAGGCCCCTTTTAACCAGTCAGCAGACCGTGCAGGCTCAACAATGCATGGCACTACAAAACACTGTAAAAAAATAAGTTTAAAGTTTAGTAAAACATTTTTTTAAATAAATAAAAATTAATTTATTGGAACACGTTTTCCAAGATTTTAGTTTTCTACTTCAAAATGTAATATTTAATTCAATGTGTTACTTGCTGTTTCTTTGTAATTAATTGTGAAATTTACTAGCAATTTCCAACCTGATCTCACAAAAACATGCATTTTTATTATTATTATTATTTTTTTTTAGAAAAAATTAAGCATGAAGGTCCACCCATAAACATAAATGTCACAGGGGTATAAGCAGATAGTACGAACATGTATGAATGAGCCAATTCATATGAATTAACCATCAATTTGCCAAAATGTAAAATATTACGAATTACAAGAATACAAGATTGTGTTGCAATTTCGGAGTGAAAATTGAGTGAGAATTTTTTCAGTGTATGCGTGAAATTACATTGGTATCTGTTTCTTAATAGCTGGTTTAATGAGAGGCAAGTTTTTTTTGTGTAATTTGGAGAAAAGGCATGATGGAATAAAGCCAAGATGACTAATTCCAATTCATCAATTGAAAATTAGACATTGGGTTCTATTGCACTGAGAGGCATTTCATGCAGCCGCTTGCCTTGACCTAGAGTTCCCTCTCATGGCCACCACATTTTGAGATCCACTTCTGCATTTTCAAATGTGGTGGTGTGGTTCAGTGCACACCACTTTTTTGTTTCCACCTTATGCACTGGCATGATTAAAGCTAATAGTTAATGATCTGTGTTAAATCACATTTAAGGATCATTCAGAAACTAGATGCTTATTGAGATCACAATGTTTCTGTTTTGGCACTGTGCCCTTAAACAAAGTTTGTTTTTACTGGTGTCAAGGTAGTGACATTCAATTTGTGTTCAAATCATTCCTTCGATTCTTTTGAATTAATCATCTGAACTGATTATTGAAACAATTATTGGTTTCAATAAGCCAGACGTTTATTGAAGTAACAGTCTTTTTCTTTTCCTTTAGGGTGGTCCAATAACATTGAAAGTCTATAGTTACAGATTTTCTCCCCCATCTCGTGCTGTTAATAAACGTGTTGTGGCTGCAGTTCCAGCTAAAGGCTGTGTTTATTCCATCACTATGGCAATGGATACCTACATTTGTCACTGCCACATGTGCACCGTCAGCTACAGTCCAGGTGTCATTAATCAAAGAAACATATGTGTTATTCACATATCAGGAGACAAAGAGAGGAGGTAAACAGCTGACAGGTGTGGATGCTGGATTGACTGAACATGCTGGAATCTATTTATTGGGCATATTTATCTGCTTAGAAGCAAGATATATTGCAGATGACAGGCAACATTATAGATGTCAAGCTTTGAAGTTGAAATGTGACCATCACAGAAATTTACCTAACGGTTTTCATCACACTTGTATCTACAGTATGTTACTGTACAGCAACAGCACTCAGTGTACAGTGGAGTTCTCTACTGCTAAACTCAAACAAACACCTCCTGTTTAATTCAGTATATGTGATGTTTAGTTTATTATGCTGTCGTGGGTTAAAAACAAAAGTGCAAAAAAGTGGCGCGTTTTTCAGTTTTTTTTTTTCTTGTGAGAGCAACATTGGCGTCATTTTGTGAATTTCCTCAAATTCGCTCCGTCAAGTGCTGTTGTTCGCATCATTTAACACTCTCATTTTAGGAAAGATTATGCAGGTGATTCAGAGATAGTCATATGACATCAACATGTGACCATGAAACAAAATACTCGCAATTTACAGCCATTTTACTGGTTGCCGATCATAACCAAACCAAAGGTTGCATTTTGGGGAGATGTTGAAGATACATCTATCACTTCATCTAGGTGTGCCATTATCTTTGCATAAATGCACACCTTGTCATTATTTACTGCTTAATTAGCATGGTGCTTAATTACATTTACATTAATCAAGGAGACAGAGGAGGCACACGGGGACACACTTTAAACATGTTAAATACACTGTACTTTATTAGTCACATAATTTGCAGACCACATACATCACTGTAATTTGTTGATTAGATATGACTGATTAGATATGGCCATTGAAGGCACGTTCCATTACAGACGTGGCCTGGCCTGACACTTAATCGACTTCTCCAGCACACACGGACACCTCGGTTTGGCCTGATCTGGGAAAGGGACGTTTCTGCACTGTAAATGTTTAGGAAATTAATTGGACTCCAGCTTAAGTTTTCCATATTCTAATTTCAACAGTCGTATTGATTTTACACAAATGGAGTATGTGTGGATATGTGTGTGGATCTGATCCTGTTAGTGTGTAATGGAGGGCTGACTGAGTGTGCTCCCCTGCGAGGCAATGCAGGCAGCGGGAGACGTCCGGACGGGCTCAGTTTAATTAAACCTGTATTAATGGAGTCTGCCGTGTGGGGAAGGTCAGTCCCAATGGAGAGATGGCGCTAAACGCATACAAGTACACACACCACATACATATGCACATGTTTACAAGCTATTTGAGGACATGTAAAATATGTCTGATGTTTTATATAAAGCTAAGTATAATTACTTTAGACTAGCCATAACCCAATGAGAAAACTAAGTTTTATAAAAAAAAACAAACAAAAAAATTATCATCATTATTATAACTGATTCTGATTCTGATTTTTTAAAATTAACATTACAAATTTATATAACTATACATTATATTACATACCAGTCAAAAGTCTGGAATAATTATGATTTTTTAAAAATGTTTTCAAAAGAAGTCTCTTATGCTTGTACCAAGTTGTATTTATTTTATCAAAAACAGTAATATTGTGAATTATTTTACAATTTAAAATAACAGTTTTCTATTTGAATATATTTTAAAATGTCAGTTATTCCTGTGATGACAAAGCTGATTTTTCATCATCATTACTCCATGTCACATGATCCCTCAGAAATCATTTTAATATTCTCATTTGGTGCTCAGTTTTTATGAATTATTATTTATACATTATATTACATACCAGTCAAAAGTCTGGAATAATTATGATTTTTTAAAATGTTTTCAAAAGAAGTCTCTTATGCTTGTACCAAGTTGTAATTATTTTATCAAAAACAGTAATATTGTGAATTATTTTACAATTTAAAATAACAGTTTTCTATTTGAATATATTTTAAAATGTCAGTTATTCCTGTGATGACAAAGCTGATTTTTCATCATCATTACTCCATGTCACATGATCCCTCAGAAATCATTTTAATATTCTCATTTGGTGCTCAGTTTTTATGAATTATTATGGTGCTCAATTATTAATGATGGTTATTATTATTAATGTTAAAAACTGTTTTTGCTGCTTAATATTTTTGTAAAAACCATGATGCATTTTTCCAGGATTTTTTGGTGAACAGAAAGAACAGCATTTTAGTTGAAATAGAAATCTTTTGTAACATTATAAATGTCTTTACTGACATTACTTTACTGACATGACTCACTTTTGATCAATTTAATGCATCCTTGTTAAATAAAACAATAAAAAAATGTACTTACCCAAACCTTTGTACGGTGTATACTTTTGGTTGTGTATCAAGATTTCTACAAAAATATGAAGCAGCAAACTGTTTTCAATAATAGTAAGAATTTTTTTTTGAGCACCAAATCAGCATGTTAGGATGATTTCTGATCATGTGACACTAAAGGCTGGAGTAATGGCTGATAAAAAATAAACTTTGTCGTCACAGGAATAAATTACATTTTAAAATACATTCTAATAGAAAACAGCTACTTTAAATTATAATAATATTTTACAATATTAATTCTAACCTTTTGTCCAGTAATTTAAGATATTATATTAATACATTTGTCACTTAATTTTTTCAAATGAAATTTCAAAATAGCCACAATTATCTATGAATTTAATTTCCTTAAATGACTAAAATAATGATAGAGCTTTTCTCAAAACTAATTTCTTAGCCATTTTTTTTATTATTATTTTTTTTAAATTGATGTATGAAGTCATTTCACAATAACTATGGAAATATTAGTTCCAGAAAGTGTTCACACAGTTTGTACTTTTTTAGGTGGTCAAATACCTTTTAGAGTCATTGTATACCTTTATATACTGTTTCTCCCTCCCTCTCTCTCTCTTAAACAGACACACACACACACACACACACACACACACATATATATATCAGTGTGAGAGTATGGAGAAGGTGGGCTTCCATTAAGAGGATTCCTGCACTCGCCTTGCTGGAGCTCAGGTATTTGAGAATAAAGACACTGCACTTGCGCCGCAGAAAATCCATGATTAAGTGCACCAGCTAAACGAGCCATGCAAATGAACTGAGCTCTCTCCCTTTTTTGTCTCTGGCTCTACATTTCTTAAACACTCACACACAAAATCCAGCTGTATTTCCCTGTCTGTCAATAAGAGATGATCTGTCGGACACAAGTATTATGTCTTGACAGGAGGGCTTTGTTACTCTTTAATGTGTACGCTATAGGTGCAGTTTCAGACTGTGCTTAGGTGGTCTCAGGATTACTGACAGCAGACTGTCTTCTCTCTGTAAAAGGTGATACGTGTTCTGCTCAAATCCTTTTTATGTAGCAGTAAAACACACTTATTCAAAGAGAAAAGCCACCGTCATGACGAATACTTCAAAACCTCACTGCGTACATTGCTATCTTACATCTCTATAAATTGTTTCAATGTTAGCTTCCTATAACTAAGGACAGTAAACCTACTGCTGTTGTTATGAACCAATAATTTACTACCTTGTTAACAAATACTCTCGCACAATTGCACCTCATTTTCTTCAGAATGAGGCTTGAGCCATAACCTGGAAGAAAAAAAAGAAAGAAAGAAAGAAAGAAAGGGGAAAAAGAATATGTGAGAAATGAGGTCTATGTTGAAGTAAAGCCAAAAAGAGTGTTTTTCTACCTTATTAGTTTTTTTTTCTTTTCTCCACAGAAATGGAAAATGACTGTAATGGCTGAATGACATCTCTTCTTTTCACTACATTTGCTCATCGTTCATGCCGTTGACCCCACATCACAATGCCGGAGACGAGTGGCGGTGGACAAGCTGTGTCATGTTATCAATTCATGCAACATGACAAACTAATAACAACAGGAAATGAATGTGTATTTTGGAAGGCAGCGTAGCAAATCGAAATGCACAATCTATGGATTGTCTCTTCCGAATGAGATAGAGGAGTGCGAACAGTGGCTGTGTTATCACTTAATAATGTGTTTTGTCATATGAGTAGACAATCTTGTTAAGTCTAACCTTTGTTCATATTTTAAGCTAACTGCACTCTTATTTATTTTTTTATTTATGCATTTATTTATCTGCCATCAGGTAGGAGAGATTGTAATGTATTAATAAAAAAAAGTAGTAACTTATCAGGTCTGCACATCTGCATTTTACCTTCTCCAGCCTTTGACCAATGCTATTACCTTTCGAGATACAGTAGCAGTGGACTTCATGAACCTTCATGAAGATGTACATAACCCAAACTTGACAACCCCATACTGTCCTAACAAAGGCGTTATGGTGACAATTTAGAGTGTAGGCATTTGTGGAAGTTTGACAGCATTTGGCAAGCGTTCATTTCTCTGTTCGCCTGCACTGACCTCTTGCGAGTAATGGTGTCAGCCTGTTAAACACATTTGTGGTTGAAACACGGAGGGAGAAACATGCAGCAGCCACACCATCAATACCGGGTCAAACGTCAGA